TATATATATATTCAATTTAGTTTTAGTGGCATTGTCACTGAATCGCTAACAACAATCGTCCAATATTTCTTCTAATTGATTGCAAAACATAAATCTAACTACCTTGTCAACATGTACACTGTATTATAGATTTGAATCGTTAAAAAATCCGTTTCGCTAGAAGAATACGACTTTACTCTATTTCAGTATTTTTTTCATATTCCGAATAGATTGGGTAGTAAGGGATATGATAAATAGTGAAATAGTAATAGACTTAGCTGATTTCACAAGTAACTGAAAAATAATTCGCCATAGATTTTATGTTGATAAAGCTGTGTAAAAATGTGTAGAACACTGATCACTGAATATTAACCACTGTTATATCGTCTACCTATTGTTCACTAAATTCAATCGATCACTTCAATGAGGTTATTAAGTAAAGTGACCTGACATCAAAATACATATTTGTCTGATATAAGATGAATTAATACTGGTACTCCAACTACTTAATACTATGGTCTAATTTAGAGTTAGTTCAAAGTATAAAACGTATTGTCATGTCACTGATTTCAATCAATCATTAAGTCTGGTGATTAAGTTGTCTAAATTTAATTCTTTTTTTTCAAAGATTTTATAAAAGTTATACCATCTAGCAAGATTACTTCACAACTGAAATGATATGAAATTCTATCTGTCAATAAACATAACGTAAAACAATGTTTCAATGAACACTATACACATCTTAAATATTCACAGAATTAGAACATATTAGTTATTAAAATTCTTTTATAACCCGTCTTTTTTAATAGGATACTATAGTAATTAAAAATACTTGAACAACTATACTATTATTCATAAATGAACATTACTTACATAGTACATATTCTTATTAAAAGTATACCTGTCACTAATCAATCAATAATTGGATCAATAATAAAGTACCCATTTTTAAAACATAAAAATATTCAGTTTACATTTTTAAAAGAAAATGCAATTATTATTACTACGGTTATTATTGTTATTTATTATCAAGTATAGTTAGAATTATTTATGAACAGATTGTCAACAATTGTCCTGAAATAAGTTATGGCAATAATTTGTGTTAGCTGTAACTGTAGTGAAAGCATTTGGTTTTGTGATGTAACTATTCTTTTTCATGTGTGAATTATTTCATGTGATAGTTTCTTCTGTTGATATGTTTTCTTTTCATTTTCTTTTGTCAACGTAGTTAACAACACTTGATTATGAAAAACGAAATATATTTTCTATAAGACTTGAATAGGAGCAGAGTGTTTGCGCTCGTTATCTGGTAGGGTTAAAAATGCTTTAGTATGTTATGAAAAACACGAAAGCACAATTGATCACGTATTTTATTCAGCACATAATTTGCTACTACAGTATGTAAATTTAGTTATGAAATGGAAATTATTGCTCTTTTTATTAGTATGAGGTTGTGAGATTTTTGAGTTTCTTCATTGAATTAGCGAATTAGTTGGACTTAGAAAACCATTGAAGACCTGGAAAGAATAGATTGTCAATTCGTCTCAATATGGCACTTCTCAACAGTGCTCATCCACGATCGAGTGACTCAGGGAGTTACCCAACTAAGATAACAGGAGATAGTTACTCAATGCTATGGACTGACTGAACTTGGAATTGCACACCAGTGGATTTCAACTCAGTGGTCTAGAGGTTAAACGTTTGAGCGAAAGACCGAAGAACCTCGGTTCGATTCCCTGTCACTCAGTCATGGACGGCTACAGCTGAGAAGTCTTATACTAGAACGAACCAGTTGTCTAGTCATCTCAAGTTTTCAGTGGTTGTCTAAATTTGATCGCTTCGTGATCTTAGTGAAGAAATCGTTCATTACTGTATAGATTTGTATACATCGTTTCTGACAATAATCACAAAACGTAAGTCTAGTCTTTTAGAGTTGTTACTTTTTTAAACGACTGACACACAAATTGACATATATATATATATATATATATATATATATATATATATATATATATCGGTGGATGTATCAACTAAATAATGAATGAATTAGTTGGTTCCATACGTGATATAGTCTATGACATGAGTATCATTTGTTTCTTGACAGAATTTATTTCTTACAATGAACGAACGAAAGCTGAATGTACATAAACAAAGATATATTTCGATAATGCAATGAGAAGATTATTAGATTTATGTGATATATTTCCACAATACATTTCGAACAATCTGATCATACCTATACTTTTTAAGACATTTTCATATGAAAAATAATAGGTCAACTAGACAAGCTGAAAGGTAAGTGGAGGTAAGAAATAATAATGTACACAAAAACAGTGAAAAGAACTCCAGATAATAAGTCAGTATTACAAGGGTAGGTTAAGTGTATGAACAAAATGTTTTTGAACACATAAATAGGGTTTCAGTTTCCGTATATCCAGGGCTTCAATAAACCTTAGTATATGCAATCATATCACATAATTCTGATAACCTTCGTTTTCTCATTACACTACCGAAATTTATCAAAGGGGCTAATTGCTTTGAAGAGATATTTATCAAAATAAGTATATTTTAAAACATCCCTGTGTAGGTTATTAAACAAGACGAAACTGAATAAATTTAAATGAAGCAAAGAGAAAAATATTTGCAAAATAAAATGAATTCATTATATTTCAAAACTTCTCATCAGCTGCAAACGGCATAAAATTACAATAGAAACATTATTTAGAACAACGTATATAAGCTAACAGTATTGTTTTCGATTAGATCCTCATCAGGCTTTACTCTAATATATAGCAATATTTATATGCATATACGAAATTATTAAACCAATCAAGGTAGTTTATAAGTCAATGATAACAATGAAAACGATTACATAATAAGTGAAATATGAAAAGTACAAATTGATGGTGTGACAACAGGTGCATTAGTTTTAATAAGAATAATAAAGGCTCAAATCAGTGTTACATAATCGGAAATAGGCCAATGATTAGAAAAATATAGAAACTGAGATAACATTTATAAAATTATGAGATGATGTAATAAGAAATGTTCAGATAATTGGGCCGTGAAACGTATAGTTGAGAGAAAATAAAATGGTAGGAGGGGGTGAAGAAAAATAATAAACGAAGAGAAAGTCTGAAAAAGAATAACTAAATTCATTTAATACTTAAGGCCAGGGGAGGGATAAGGGTGTTACGAATTTCTTCTGAACACAAAGAGTTGGCTTGTTGGCTCGGATACCTATAGCTTCGGCTATGTGTAAGAGACGAGATCGGACACCATAAGGAAAACTAGTGGGAATTCGATAAGTAACTTTGAACGACTTGTTTCTGTCCGCTATATGACCGCTATCGATCAAGTGTGATAGAACCGAGCTGCGTATTGTTTTGACGTAACCTTTTCCTAACCACGAAGGGAGGTGTTCACTAACTCGTTGGTTCAGTTTCCTGGTAGTGCGCCCAATATAGTCACACCATCAATTTGTACTTTTCATATTTCACTTATTATGTAATCGTTTTCATTGTTATCATTGACTTATAAACTACCTTGATTGGTTTAATAATTTCGTATATGCATATAAATATTGCTATATATTAGAGTAAAGCCTGATGAGGATCTAATCGAAAACAATATTGTTCGCTAACGTATGTTGTTCTAAATTAACAATATGGGAATATTTCAAATTTAGAAGAAACATTATTATAAGGAATGTTATTGCATATCAAAATCAAAAGACTTTAGTTCTAAAGGACTAAAGAAATAAGAGATAACATGTTTGAAATGATAGTTAAAACTGATAAGTATTTATAAGCAAAGATGGATAGTGGCTGAGAGTGGAATTCAGGACGCGCGTTTCGTCCTATCCGGGACTCGTCAGCTGGATTTACCTGGATGTACCTGAATGTACCAATTGCAAGTGGCTATCATGACTCAGTAGCTAAGTGGATAACGCGATGGCGTTTGAAGTGAACAGTGCTGGGTTCGACTCACAGAGTGAACACCAACTCTGAGATGCAGGTACATTCAACCAACGAGTCCCGAATAGGACGAAATGCTTGTGAATTAGGGTAATATCGATGTAATACACACAGTATGCACATATACCATTAAGACACTGATCAATTGTAGTCCTAAATAACAATGGGAAGATACAAGTAAACAACACCAAGTATTTATATGTTGAAGATGAAATAGTAAGCATTCGAAACAGCATACCAAATTTCTTCCCTTTTGCAATAGCCATCGTCATCAAGCTTTTTCATCTGACATTTGCATACAGAAAGAAAGTGTTGTACACTCACGAATACTATGGTAAGAAAGTTCTATTATTTTAACGCTTGTTAATTTCATTATCTCTTTAGTGTGGTTTATTACTCAGAGTAAAAAATCCCAATGACACTCACTTAAGACGTTAAATTTAATTTAATGTTAAATAGGTGCCTTGATTATTACTTATTTCTTAGTAATTTGTTCCTATTAATTACCACTTTACAACTTTATACCCCTTTTCCTTTTATTTCCATGATTTCATATTCAGCATGTAAATACTTATCAGTTTTAACTATCATTTCAAACATGCTGTCCCTTATTTCTTAAGTCCTTTAGAACTAAACTCTTGATTTTGATATGCAATAGCATTTCTTGTAATAATGTTTCTATTGTAATTTTATTCCGTTTGCAGCTGATGAGAAGTCTTGAAACATAATGAATTCATTTTATTTTGCAAATATTTTGTTCTTCGCTTTAATTGTATTTATCAAGGGATTATGATTTATAAATAAATTCAAATTGAAATGGTTTGGATGATATTTTTGATTAAAATTTGATCAGTTTTAGTCGGATGAAACGTACGGTTTGGATTCTACTCCTAATCACATTTAATCTATTCTATATTAATCTAGTTAAGAATAATTGTTTATTTCACAATTGTGTAAGTATTGTATCTGCGTCGCTTATTAATTATACTTGAAAAGACGAGAACCGCTGCAAATCCCATGATGCATAGTAACAACACCCAAACTGGTACAAGTGAAGATTTATTAAATCCAAAAATACGACAATCCTGGTTGAAAATACATTCAATATATCGACTGGACACTCATTTTGATTATTAATTAGAATTTAAAAAACCTTATATAAAAGATTTCCAGAGTTACAACAAAATCGTATGTTATCATAATGAATGTAGTTCACGTTAATTTTATACAAGAATATTGTATGTTGAAATAACATCATACTCAAAGAAATTAATATTATACCAAATAAAATATAACACTGGAGACCAAAAACAGATATTACTATGAATAATCATCATATGCAATTAAAAGCGGAAGTAATGTTGGGCATGAATCACAATGAGTCAAAAAATGTGATATCGTCTTCTCATCCCATTTTATCACCTCCCGTTCTTTAATTGAATATGTAGGAGTACGATTTCTGTAGAGAGTTCATTCGACGGGTTGTTGTTTTTATTCGCACTCTGTGGGATCTTCTCAGCTGGTCGGGCGTTTGTGTCCAAGGATCCCGTTAGGTTTCATTATATAGAGTGTCTACTAACATATCTCCTGGCAAGTTTTCCAACTCTTGAGTAGTTGCAACGTTTTTACAGTCTCGTTTTTTCAAAATATGATTACTGCGTCCCATTCATATGAATTCTCCTACTTTCAATTCATACATAACTGTTGGTGTTTTTATTTCTATTGTTTCACTTGCCCGTTGTGGTATGGAATCGCGGAAAACCCACATCCAAACTGCTTCACCTGAATGAAAACTTTTGGACTGTGGCTTCTTTATTTTCATTTCTTTCAATCTTTCTATCAGATCCTCCCAAACATATTTGCTGCTAGCCATAATCCATCCACTGTTACTGGATACAATGTTGAACAATAACTTTGCAAGAACTTTTGTATCATTTCGTCTACCGTCACTACCTCTTCTTTTTAAATAGTCCTTTTTAATGAATCAACAAAACTATCCGTCTGACCATTTGATTGGTGTTATGGAGTAGACTTGACATAATTCATACTGTTTTTTCTGCAGAATTTATCAAACTAGATTGAAGTGAACTGTATTCCATTATCAGAAACAATAGTATATAGTAGACTGAAACAATTAAATACTTCTGTAAATTTTTGCATCGTGGCACTGGTAGGCAAACTGACCATTACGAAGACTTCTGGCCATTCTAAAAATGCATCAGGAATTGCCTACCCTGAGAAGTTACGGCAAAATCTATGTGAGGGCTTGACTAAGGTTCTGCCTATGCTGATCATGGTTGAGGTTGGTCTTTAATGGGTAGTTTAGATGGCTGTGCACAATAGTTACATCGTTCTGCCATTTCTCTAATATCTTCATCGACATTTAGCCCGTATACATAAGCACAGGTTATTGATTTTATGCGACTCATGGTAAGACAGGACGGGTGTATAAGTTTCAAGACTAATTTTCAAAGATAATTAGATATAACCAAAAGAACTTGTAGATTTATCCTCGATATGGACATTATAGCCCAGTAAGGTGACAACCCATCTTTTGAGGAGCTTTGCTGTGTAAACTGCAATTTCTTTTTTAATCTGTACAAGTGGTTTATGGTCTGTAAGCGGTGTGAAACGTCGAGCATGAAGCATTTTGTGAAACGTCATGAGTGCAAAAACTAGTGCAAGTACTCCCTTCTCGATTCAACTACAATTAGGTCTGCCGGAGTTAGTATCCGTAAAGCACGACAAATGGCATTCTCTGTACTATCGGGAAACACATGTGAAATAGTCGCTTCAATGCCATAATTTGAGTTGTCCGCTGCTACCGCAATTTCTAATTCAGGGATACAGTGGACTATGTTTTGAACTATGTTTTTTACTCTGGCAAACGATCGTTGGCATTCCTTTGACCATCGCCAGTGAACATTTAAATTCTTATATTGAACGTGTAACACACTAGTATATGATTACCTTAATAAAGTCGTTTATACAGTTTGTCATTCCTACTACACTTTATAAACTAGTTTACCGACCAGCAATCTTAAATTTTCACATTTAGCTTTTTGGAGTGGAATTATATTGCATGTTCCCGCCATTCATCATAGCAACCGATCATATCAATACTCTAAAGGGGGAATGGGAGCCAGTTTTTTCATTACTGTAGGTCATCATGGATACTGTATTTCGTTCTGCGTTTTGTTTTGTTTGGTTTGTAGTTTCATCACAGATTGTGGTCTCTGTATTTGCTAAACTTGTATCAATAACTGAGTTTATAACGTTGTTGTATTGGTTTTATGAAATGAAAAACATGTTCCATTGTTTATCTCGCTGTGGTCAGTTTCCGTATTTTTGGGGAATCATGTTTTTAACTGTTAATGAAAGTCACTTTCTTGATTTTCAATTTCGCTGTTGGACATGAACCTTGTTAATCGTTATTTATGGTCTGGATTCTTTCCACGGCTCGTTGGAATGTATATTTTGCTCTTGTTAAATTGCTGAGGTACTTTGCAGTGCTTCAAACATTGCTCCTGTTTAAATTTCTTACCGTTAGTTACAAAAATGTGAAGAAACGTTGCGGACAAAAAATGTTATTTGTTATTCTCTATATTACATTGCCTCAAACTTCGACGCAATTAACGTTGACTGATTTCGTTGCTTAAACGAGAATGAATTGAAAATAGAGAGTTCAACAATAAGTGTTCGATCTTATCCTACTGCAATAATGAATTATATGGACTGAAAATACAATAAAACAATTAAAATCAATGATTGCATAAATCTAAGAAATAAAATTATAAAAGGTATATGTGGTTTTTTCATATTTTGTCAGATTATGGAAGTTTTCATCAGGTGATCGAGAAATTGATAAGCGTTGGGAAATCGTTCAGTGAATACAACAATGTTTCAAACGAGGTATCGTGAATATGTTTCAGCACACTTGGAAAAATAGGAATATGAAAATGATTGCCTAATTCCACTACAACAGAATGAGAGAACACGGTGTATAGCGTTTATACCAATTTAAAGAACACAGTTACATATTGTTCCAGCTGGTTATAAAAGATAACAATGAATATTCATGTACGGTGATGCTTGTCGTGTTCAAGTGTGAGAGAATGCATTCATCTAGTATGTCCAGTAAACGTTTTTTTATTTTTCCGTATTCTCAATGCAACAACTGAGTTACATAAACTGTCAGTCATCATTGAAGAGGCATCCTTAGTTCTGTTACCAAATAACAGTATTTTATTACGTTAATTCATTACTAACTTTACTTTCACATGTTCAGATAAAACAGTTTGCGTTAAACGTCTGTAGTGTCGGATATGTTAAGCTAACGATAAAAAAGCTTGTTTACATTGAATCGTATATTCTATTATATTCACTGATTTCACGATTGGTCACCACAGGCTTGTAGGCAGATTGCAACTTGTAATCATCTGGAATCACTAATGCACTTCTGGTTATAAAATGAAAGTTCGATAACTTACGGCTGTAGAGTTTAATTATAAGTAAGAGTCCCTCATGTGTCATATCCTAAATGATCATTTGCATCTTTCTTTACAGATCCTTTGAGTCAGACCATGAATGACATAAATGACAAAGCCACTAAGCACTATTTGTTACAATAAAAAGATGTTATAACTTATCATAGATTTACAGCTTAAAAAAACTTGTTCTGTTTGAAGAAATTACTAGTTCACCTAATCTGAGAACGGACCGAAGACTCTGTGACACAATGACCAATAAGCTAGCTATTCCGATCCGTCCCATCCTCGCTAACTATATAGAGAATTCCAAGTTCGGAAGAGGGAAATATATATTCCACAAGTAGCCAGAAGCACGAACAACAACAACAAAAAGAACAACTAAAGCGTATATATAAACAGCATAAAAATGTCGTTGGGAAGCGTTACGAAGTAGCATACTAAAAGATTCAACGAACCAATAGCGTTTAAGATCCTCCAAAGTGGGAAATACGATATGAAGGTGAAAATGGGCGCTTTTGGCGCGAAAACGAGAAATTCAAATCTTCAAAATAGAACTACAAAAATAAGGTATTTACCAAGTGAGTTCCTAGGATCCAACATCCCCAACATATCTATTTTTCGTAGAGCTATCCTGTCATGGATAATTTCAACCAGTGACACTAATTACGATGCTGTGTACTAATATAAAGACTTGCATCCATTATTTTATTTCAGCCATTAATATTCAGTCAAAATCATGAAGTCAACTAATACGAATTTGCACTGTCTATATGTAGTTAATCTGACTGCAGTCAAAAAAGTAAAATAATTGGACCTTCAGGTGGAGGTTAATAGCTTTTCTAGTAGATGTACAAATGGATTATTAAATAGCATTTTAGTATATTTAAGTTGCCTTATAGCAACTATCCTACAATCAATTTCGATTATGGTTAATTTTGGTTAAGTTCTTTAATTAACTTAATAGACAATGTTATTTGAACAGTAACAATTCGCATATTTCTTTGTACCATTGTGATCACTAGATCACGTGATAGACTCTAGTTAAATGTTGATTGCTTAAATATAATTCAGTGACCCAGCCTCCTTCCGGGACAATATTAATTATCAATGTATGTAAATTAAAAACGGACGTCACTGAAATCATGAACAGATTCCGCAAGAGGAATCGTGGATGCATACTACTGAGGAGTTCCATACTAGGACGAAACAGCCGTTCAGTGCTTCCAGGTTTTCAATGGTGGTCTAATATTGGTCGGTTCATGATTTGACTGAAAATCAACAATCTCCCCTACTTCAAACTGAAAATTACGAACGTACTGAAATAGCTTCACATAATCTTATTATCCACTATTGCTTTTCAGATATTTTCCAACTTCTGTGCTTGTATTGTTGTACATTGTAAAAACCAAGCTTTTAGATTTCGTGCTCGATATGTTGACAAACCTAAAAGAAGGATCAATATCACTAATGACTCTAACACAAACAATACATGACCAATTATGGATATTTTCACTCAGTTATCTGAGCTTTTCATATCAAATAGATCATTGCTATGGTCCTTTTGACCACCTCATGTATTATTGCAACTGGAACAGCTATAATTTAAACCGATATAAGTATAAACCCTTCCTGTAGAATGTAAAATGAGGTTGAAAGGCGTTTTCGTAAGAGACATAGAGCAATAACACATTTAATCTGTTATGACTTATGCCCTGTTAATTATCACATGACAAGGTCACCAATTAGAACACCGACTTATACGACCTTGTCCCCGCTCGAAACAAATGACACGCCAACCAGCACGAGAAGCCTAGGCTCAACTCTGAGTCCTTAACGGTTCTTCTCACCTAGCCCTGCCCATTTAGTCCAGAACACAATCTCATCCTCCACTTTATGAATCATATATTTCAGACACGCGGTTTATGTACAAGTAAATCAGACCTTATCACACTATAAAATAGAAAATAACGGTTATGCATGATCAAGTCAAAAGTGGCTGTGAGTGTGAGAGACTTTAATTAATAGATTGTGAATAACTTAAGAATAGTCGATCAAGTAATAATAGCTAATAGATCAAATGAAAATATTTTATATATAGTTACTCATTAATTATCCATTAAAAATATTTGTTGTAATAGTCCATAAATAATTCCTAGAAGTTACCATTCATTTATTCTTCGGATATAGCAATCATTTAGCTTATTATCTAGAATGATGAGGTTTCAAATTGTTTTCACATTATTTCTTTATTATCTTTGTCTCCACTTACCCTCCATTTCTAGTTCAGTTGACCTTTTATTTTTATATATAAATGTTCTTAACAAACATATGTGTGATCAGATTGTTCGAAAATTATTGAGCTAATATATCACATAATTCTGATAATCTTCGAAATTTATCAAAGGGACTAATCGCTTTAATATAAGGCTATTTCAGTCTTATAATTTAACAATTATTGTGTCGCAGCTAAACCAACTGTACTTGGATAAATATTCCCTTCACAGATGCAAAATTTAGTTTAATAAGCATGGATTATAGAAAATAACTAAATAGCATATATCTTTAAAACCTCTTAAATAGCTTTGAAAATACAAAACTTACCTATCGGCCTCTCTATGGAAATTTCTCAGCCTATCGCAAACTAATCCAACACAGCACAAGTTAAGTTGGGACATGTAGTGTAATGCAGCCGAACATGCGGAGTAAAAATACTTACTGGGTAATTTTGAGGGCCGACTTGAAAGCAATATTTAGAAAAATATTTTGTATGTATCAGCATCGAGTTTGAACTTGATATTTTCAAATAAATCGAGCATTGGGCAGAAAGAATTTCGGTTATTTGTTTATTTACTCTGAAGAAGTGACTAACGTTAATGCACGAAATATCAGTGATCCAAATTTCTGCTCGTCCGGATATCATAACTTACATTCATATCTTCATACATACATACATACTTACTTATTTACTTACGCCAATTACCCCTTGTGGAGGAGCCTAGGCCACTCACCAGAATTCTGACGTGCTAAAAGTAAATTTATTTGCTTATTATTTAAAATCATTCTTTTAAACGTCTTATTTAAAAACTGGACGGACATAAAAATGTCAAACATGGCACACCATTTTTACATAGTAACACGTTATATAACATTAACCATTTTTTAAAGTTCTCGTTCCTAATCCAAACAATATATCATATTGTTATTTTAAGTAACTAATAAAGGCCTTTCTTCATTGTTACAAGACAGACATGTAAACGTGTAAACACTATTCATTCATTTAGATTGATATAATTTTCTATTCTGAAAATGAAAAGCTTCAGAAATATTGTATATTGTCTACTTTCAGATATCAGTTTATTAATTGTTGAAAGTACAAATACAACTTGTCAAAATTACTATTTTAGTAAATAATTAGCATTCGTAATTAATAGCTATGATGATACATATAAATATGAGTGTTATCTATTTAGTTTAAAATGTTTAATTTGCTCAGATATAGGTCAATTTAACAGAAACTGTTAGTAACTTAACTGTTTAGCGCATAGCTTTTAAGAAAATTAAATCTGATTGATTACAAATATAGTTGTCTGAATAAAAATTATTTTCGTCTCTCGCCCTCTATATATATATAACCTTATGCTTATTATTTTTCATTCTGTCCTATGTTAATGTCAGTTATGCGAATCATGTGTATAATAGTTTCATTTTGATTATAAGCACATGAAATACCATTAGTTATTTAATTACGTGAATAAGGATTCTCGGAAGTTGATTCAGAAATACAATCAATCATCATATGGTAGCTTATTTCTTATACTACAACCTTTAGTGTTGATTAGATATGTATGAAATGTATAGTATATAAATAATATCTCAAGATAACAGTATATGTCTAATATATTTAGTATTTATGACGGTGTAACATTAATCAGTGCATAGCTATGGATTTGACTGTAAAAATCCCATTTCGGTGTTGTATCATACAATAATTCATTTGATATTAAAATGAAGAAATACATTTTCAGATTGAACGTCATCTGACATTATGTTTTTATCTAACAATCCAAGCACTGTCAAGATATCGGCTCTAGTGATTAAGTGCATTGATGTTTGTGTTACGAAACGGATATAATGTAATCATTAATAAACTATGGTTTATATATATGTTACTACACATATATGTAACAATCAGTAGATAATAATTTAGTTCAGTTATTCTAATATATTTTTAACAAATTAGTTTAACATGTATCAATGCACGAATGTGATCAGATTGATTTTGTGAAATAAAATAACTAAAGTGTTATCCATAGTACAGGGAACAATTTTTACCATAAGATGTAGATTGGATAGTTTATTGTTCTCAGAATAGATTTTTATACATTATTTGAATATTCAGCAAGAAACTATTAATTTTTCACTAATGTCCACTGATTATTTCTCAAATTATGTTATCAAGAAAATTAGACTAATCCTGTAATGGATCTCACTGACTTCTTGTTAAGTTAAAATAAGTAATCACAAATCTTCTGGACAGTACACTTTATTTTGGATAGCTAGTTTCCCTATTTCGACATCATTCGGTATATCATCTAGTCCAAGCCTTCTAAATGAGATCACGTTGTTACTTAAACTTTGTCTTCACGTGATTATGGTAAATAGTTACGTAAATATGATCAAGATTGAATATTTTAAAAATGATGGGGAAATAAACATATTTTGTTCTAACTGATTCTTCTCATGTTGGGCTAGTGTACATTTTCTATGATATTATTTAGTGAAACGTCAATTGTTAAATACATTTTGTGATGAAATACTTAACAATAATGAAGTTAGTTTGTTACTTTCCGGCAAAAGAAACATTCTTTAAATAACTTTGGGAGGAATATATTAAGTTTGCGCCTAGTGATTTCAACAAGATACTTTTGAAAGCAATTTTCATGACGAATTGATGCTAACAAGAAGACTTTAGGGAAACCAAACAGCATTATACAACTATTTTGTTCATATCTAGAACAAACTAGGAGTCCCCATTCAATAATAAATAAAAGTCTAAGAGAAGGATCTATAGGTCTTTGTTTAAAGATGACACGTTTAGACCATTTAGCTGGAATCCAATAGTCCATATATTCAATCTCAGTTGACTTGTAGTGTAGCAGTATAAATCATATTTCTTCTGGCTGGGTGGTAGGCTAATAATATTTAATGGTTCAGTCATCACAATGCTCTTCATATGAATACATGATTATTAAATGTTTATTTAGAAAAAAATAGACTGAAAATAAAGTAGCTATTTTTAGGTAAACCAAATAAATCCTCAACTCAGGAATATTCTCTATCCGAACATCCTACCGAAGGATAATTCATGATACGAAATCTATAGGTCTCATGTCGAGAATGATATAATTAAATCACTGGTTTAAAATCAAAATGATCTACATCTTCAATTTTAAATAAATTTTAATGCAGTTTAATCCTAAAGAAATATCATCTATGAGTTACTGTCTACTAACTATATCAAGATATTAGATCATGACATTAACAAAATCCATTTCTATACCTATTACTAATGAGTAAATACCTATGAGTATATGTGGTTTTATTCACTTGCATAAAAATCTCGTCATTAAATGTATTCATAATTTACTACTCAGACTACTATTAGCAGTAATACATGAATTAAAGTATGTAATTTTTCAAGATCTTAATAATTGTTTCACATATTTAACTATAGAAAACCCATTAACATAATCCAACACTTCAATGTTTTACTTACGTAATAGTTTTTTTTTTCGTTTTTGCTTCCTTTGATCTATCTTATCATCATTACAAAATGAGTGCTCTGGATTTGTTTTTATATTCTTTCTTATTCAAATATCAAATAATCATCTATCTTTTATGTAAACATAAAAGAATATCTAAAATTCATAATTCACTTATGGTTAATTTTGTGTTAAATAAAGTTGTAAAACAGATTTAAGTGTTATTTCTAGGAATACTCATGTGTTTAATCGAAATATCATAGTGTTTTTATGTGTATGTTGTCAATACTGTTGAATTTTTTTGTTTTTACTAAATCTTTTCTTGTAAGTCACATCTAAATGTGTGTTTTGAAGGAAAAAATGATGAGACAACAGAACAAAATGTTAGTAAAAGATTAATTAAATGGTAAGATTTAGCTTGATTTTAATTACCTTGGATCTACTACAGATTATATGATGGCAAATAAGACGGCCTGCTTGAATATCTAGGCTACTTGTTCCTACCATATGGATATTTCAACAAGTTATCTATTTTCTTTGTTTTAACACATCTTTATGCCTATTAGTCTCATAGCCTATTAAGGTGAGTTTGTGAAAAGTTGATTACATCTCTCTGTACAAGTTACAAAAGAGCCCAATTAGAGACATTGTGGTTGCTGGTTATATATGCATCGTAAAGAATATACATTATTCAGATGTCGATTCCTGAACTGCTAACATCTAACTGGTGATTACTCAATATTTATCGCAAGGGTCGATCAAGAAATATGAAAAAGAAAACTTGTTGAATTACTTTGTGCTGAGAATTCTATGTTGTATCAAAAATATAATACTGAATAAAGCCAATAATAACAATAATAGATTTGTGCAGTTTTAAGTGTTCAATAGATCTATTTTATTTATAACGTGGATCCACTTCATACAAAACTTCTTGAATTGACAAACAGTAAATAGTCATATGTCTATTTGCAAATGTGAATGCTGTATATGTGAATCACATATGGCTTTGTGATTCTATAAAGTATGTTGATATTATCTCAATTCAAGTACATGTTTAACGGGCTGATTTTTATTACTTTACTCTGGTATTAATACAAGGATTTGAGCATGATCATTTTGTGGAATTTTGAAATATTTTTTTGACAAAAGTGAGAAACTCATAAGAAATTGCTTACTATGAAGAGTATTCACGTTTATTTATATAAAAAATTCATAGAGAACAATAATATGTTTTTTTGAAGGAATTAAATGGCTTCTATATCTCACACCTTCAATGCCTTTATCGTTTAGTCCTGGAAACACCAGGGTGAATAAATAATAAAAAGCGCAGCATCGCCGAAATTATTCAGTATTATTCGTTAGCTGTCTTTGTAAATATCGGTGGCTGGGAATCAGTTTATACATTTTTATATTTATCAGACGTGCTACCTAGCTCACTCCTAATGCATTTGACCTTACCGTGTAACAAGTCGAAAGTAACGTCCGAATTATGATAAGAATTCCTAATGTCTCTATTAAATTTTAAAATCCATTCACATCATACATCAGATAAATATTAGTTGATTTAAACATCAGTTCTTTTGATTTAATAAAAAGCTTGAAAGTTGTCATGGTAACATACACTTTAGATGAGCCACAATATTGGATTTATATGTACGTCCTTTAATGTAAACTGAGAATCAGTGTAGCAGTAAAATGTCTTGTCAAAAAACATTCTTAAGGAAAACAAACTACGCAATTTGTTTATATCCGAACAATTAAAGGAAAGTAATTGGTAAAGTGAGGACTTTCACAGTGATACAATGGGGGAGTGTAACTGACCTCAGTTTTATCAACAATTATTTATCATCTTATCAATACGTTCCAGTATTCTAAATATAAAACTCAATTTATTCAGTCGGTTGATTAGTGCTGTTGTCTTATGATTTATCTTCAGCTGGTTTTGGTTGGTCGATTTCTTTAGTGAATGAATTTTATTCCAAACATTTAATCCAAATAATTGTTTGACCATGATTTATCGAAGTGATATTTTAAAATAATATCACAGTCAGTCGAAAGGATGTTTCTACAAAAAGTCATAAATTTAGTCACGCAAACAATGTAAACCGAAAAGGATAGTTTAGCGATTTCTTATAAGTTTACTAACCAACTGCTAAACTTAAGTCATATTATTTTATGTTACATAGTTGAAGTTTTAAACTGCGCTATCATTTGAATGATTTTTAAAAAAAAACGTTTGAAACGGCTTTTATTAATGGTCATTTTTTTATTAGTTTCACCATTTAAGTGTACCATGTTACTAGTAATAAAATAAATTTATTCACTGGTCAGTTGTGCTACCGTTTGAAAACTTTACCCAGTCACACAATATATCTTCATTAATAATAGCCATAAATTGTGAGGGTAATCGGAATGCAGTGATGTACTCATTACTTGTTCAGCTTTAACTTGTGGGTAAATGTCTATGCATTTTTATATTTTCTAAAAAAGTAGAACATTAAAAGGTAGCTTTTATTTTCTAAGTTATTTTTAGCCTAGTACTTAATTGTACATAACCAAGAAAGACTTGATATGGATAAGTTGAATCAGTCTGTAATGAAGATTAAAGAAAGAATGTTTAATCGTAAATTAACAAAGTAGATTGTTCATTCCACATTGCAGGTAGCATGTTGTTGGTATGTATATTTTATTATAGGAAGTAGGTAGTGGGGATAATACAAGTCTGAGGGAGGTTTATGGATAAAACAGTTACGAAAATTGATGATATTCTTCCAGTTAAATTAAAAAATAAGTTGAAATCAATTGTATGTTGTAGTTAGTCATGAGTAGGTTGTGAAAACAGTTGTACTATGTTTCATGTAATGAGAACAAGAGTTAGCTCTCCGAATATCTTTTTTATCGATCTCGTTTTCGATTTTGTAAATACACAAAAGATAAAACAAATACTAGAAAATATGTAGACTATATGTCATGTTCACCCGTGATCAAATTTGGGACAAGTATAAACTTTTCTTCATTACACACTGTTGTCTTCGAATTACCATTAAGATTACTAGCATTGTCATAGTAGCCTGAATTCCTACTGCTTTGTTCAATGTCACAAACGCTTACTTCAATACGATCGTTCTCTTCTTTGGTTGTTTGGTAAATACTTGAGATGTTTAGCAAGGGCGTTTCTCCACTGGTGATATAATCATGTTCTTCTTCTAATACCTGATCTGAGTCTGAATGACTGCGATTGTCTTCTTCTTCTTGTATATGATCAGAATGAGTGTTAATACCTTGACGACGACTACGATGGCGATTACGACTTCGGCGATTTTGATTGTCATCTTGAGGAGAAACACTATGATTGCGATTGTCCACATTAATGTTGTTACTAACATCACTCTGACCGTTATTTAAAAAACTTCGATATTGTTTTGTGTTGTGGTAACTTTCTGAGGTATGGTGACTTGATACATCTGAAGACATTTCTTTGCGAGATTTGGGATTAGAAGTGCATGTTACTGATCTTTCAAACAAATTAGATAGTCTGCTGTTATTCTGGTCGTAGGAATACCGACGATAGGATTCATTCAGACTCATGGTATCGTCAGGTATCTATGGAAATAGAAAATTGTAGTAATTGTAAGCACTTAATTACTTTTTTATAACCATAGTTCATGTACATGAACTAAATTATGTTTTAAAGAAAATTTGTTTAAAGGTGATCCTACAGTGAACAGGTTTGTAAACTGTTTATCACACCCTTTGTCCTTTGAAATATTTGACAGTTAGATCGGCATGAGATCAACGCGAAATATAATCAGACATTATTTTTAAAAATTCATTCAAAATCCACTACTGCCAAAGATATTTCTTGGTTCGTTAGTAGATTTATTTACAGAAGACTCTTATCAGCTCCACAAAATCTTAATAAATACATTATGACCTATAGACTAGAGCTTTGTCCTTCAAACTAAACAGCCTAAAAATGAGGAAGTGATATTTAAGATCTAAGTAAAGTTGCATTATTAAGTGCTTTATTCTTTGATTGTTCTGCATTCTTGAAAAAAACCCAGAATGAGTTGAGAAGTTATAATTTGTGTAACTAGTCACAGATCGTCGGTTTAATTCTATCTACAAAACTATCGATTGCCGAATGATAATCAATGTCATTTTATTCATTTCTTTATATGAATTGAATTTTGTTGATCACATGTGAAATATGTCTACTAGATTATAGGATAAAAGATCGTAGTTGACTTGCTTAAACTTTAGACAGAGAAAATCCAATCCCTAAACAAATCGCTTAATGATCTTATCAAATATAAATTAACTTTATAATCACAAACGCTAATAACTATATGTTCAGACCATCAGTAACAAGATAAATAATTATGTGTCAATTTAACGTTCTCAAATTAAACATCTCAAATGAAAATTATTGGTCCTGAACAACAATGTGTATAAAGGTGTATTTGACAATCAGCTAGATATCACACTCAAGCAATCTTTTCTGAATTACTAAGGGATCGGAAGACTTTTCTCGACCAGAATATAGCTTACAAAAGAGCACAGTGAAAAAGGAAGATTAATTTACGGAGAAAGACAATAAAATAAATTTGCCTATCAAATAAGTGGTCTCTTGGGATAAATCACACTAACATCCCGAAACAATAATAAAACTAATACTTACTATACTGTGAGCTTCTGACTTTCTGGAAACGTGCAGTAAATTGGGATCACGTTTTCGTGTACGTACGCCTAAAATACTGGCAACGAATTCTGTATCAGATACGTGTTTAGTTGTTCCATTAGTAAATATATTATCATTACTGTATAAATAATTGGAATCTGTATTATCATTTGAATTACAAGTTGTTAGAAAACTATCTGTTCTTCCAAAACTCTGTGATGACATTTTTTTAATCCATGGATGATCCAATGCTTCAATTGGATTCATTCTTTCATCTGGACTCCATTTTAAACAACGTTCTAGAAAATCTACCATATCTGGGTCAAATGGTTGTGGAATTTTATGTCCAATATTTGATTTATCGCTTGATGGTAGGCAAACGGAAGAGTTTTTCGAACTAGTCAAGGCATCAACTAAAGTCATAGAGCCAGGTGATTTTCTTAACTTTTGACTTTTACTACTACCAGAACGTTTATGTTTAGTTGATGAAGAATTTAAAGATTTGTTAAGATTGGTTAAAGCTTCTTTTGTATTATCTGACTGTTCATTTCCATAGGTGTGTTTTTGTTGTTCAATCATATATAAAGGTTGACCATTACTATTGAAATAATGATGACTTTGACTGCCTTTCTTAATCATTTGCATCGGTGGTATCCCCAAGATTTCCATAATACAAGCTAATTGGTCGAACGCATCTTCACCTGGAAACAATGGTTCTCCTTAAAATACGAATAATAAATCAAAAAGGTAAGGAGTTTGATTACCAAACATATTTAAAGTCGTAGTGGTATTAGGGAAAATGAACATATTTTTAAGATGAATATCGATACAACAAGAAAATGTTTGTCCTTCTGGCAGCAGTATCTCATGAAAACACTAGTAGTTTCCTAATACATATTACTAAATAGTGAAAACTATTTTATTCCACCTTGTTGCCCATGATATTCTTGTATTTAGAAACTTTTCATTATATTTGGAGATCTGAGTGTTTTGAGAAACTAGGATCCCTTTGTGATTAAGTTTAGATTATTTGTAGCAGTATCGTTTCATATTGATAATGGTTCATTTGGAAAACTTTTTACTTTGAATGTGAAAACTAAGGGTAGTTTTGATGTGATAATTCCAGTAAATTTAAATGAATAGCGTAGTATTCCGATTGTAACTGTTGAAATATCAAGTAGTTATATGTACATCTGGAGAAAAAAAAAGTTTTCAGTTCTGTTATCCTAGGTTGCAACACATCTTCGGCGTTTTGATAGGTTAACTATGGGGAATAGAAATAAGTATTTCCATTTTATAATAGGCGGAACCATCTTTAGGTCAGAATTAACCTATACTATCTTCCAATTAGTAGTTAATTTCAGAAATGTAGAGAATAATACAGTCAAGTCAAACTTATTACATACCTTTACCATTGAAACATGCATGACAAGTAATGTCACATAAAAGATTATAATTCCCTTTTGGTTAAAATCCTGTAACTGTCCAATCCATCTAATCGAGCGGTACTTCAGCTATACTACATTGATATAATGTAACGCTCAAAGTTTCATGTGGTTATTTAATGCGTATTAAATTACTTACGCGTGTTAGCCTTCGTCGAGGAGTATAGGTCGCCTACTAGGGAGGAGTTTCTATCCTACGTCAGTAGAAATCCATTGGCGATTTCATTTTTTCTTAATAATCTTATAATATATTAACGAATAAACAGTCTTATATATTTATTTTTCTTTAATAAAGTATGGATTCTTAGATACTTTTCCATGATAAACTGATTTGAATAATTCATTTCTCACTTTACTATTATTGGTCATTTTGAACTCAAATTTAACCTTTTTTTAAAGTTTCTGTACTATGATGTTATCTTTGTTTTACGTGTTTCATAGCATGCTAACCAGATTTTAATAGTCAAAATGAATTCTAACAGCAAAAGAAAATTTAAGTGTCAATATCATACAGTTGGTTTCATTTATGAATTTCATAGTAATCTTACGTAACTTACAATAATATCTTGTTAAGGAAATGTTGATCTATAGTACAAAATATGAAGATAAAGATGATTTAAGAAACTTGTTTGAACTAGTATTAAAGATATCTATTTTTTAATGATTTATTATACCATTACCATTTACAATTCAGCAATATAATTTATATAATACAACAAAGAAAAAATTCAGTTGTTGGTTTAATTTTTACCGAATAGTTTCTCTAGTTAATCTCGGAATTGAGATATAGATAAAAACGGAATATTAAATAAGAAGTTATGCATTTTGACTGAATTAGTTAAAATTTATGTAATTGATATACAAGTTAACAGTTAACCATGAACATTTAATAAATATTAATGACTATATCCTTACATAAAATCTTTCCTTTATATATTACACCATTGAGTTAATTGCTTCTATGAATCCGGTGTTCGTCTTGCTGTGCTAATAAGGTGTAGCAACTTGGACCAATGCATGTATATGCCTGATCGTACGTTGTAACTGACTGACTGACTGAATGACTCTTAACAAACTTAACAATTTAAGTTTAATAGAATAATTTACTCGAGTGGATAATAAATTGGTATTTAAGATGGATTATGTATCATTACGAATCATTTTCAAGTTCTTATACAATTTAAAGCCAAGTTAGAGAATACATAACTTACAATGTTGATTGAAATATAACACATTAATTTATTATTTCTTTCCGCTTATAACCCTATCATTGTTTTGATAACTAAGAAAATAAGAAATCAAACAATTTTTTGTTTGAAACCCGTCAGTACAATAAAAGGTTAGTTGCTTTTCATTAACTGCCTACAGTGATTGAACTTGAATGGCTATGTTTTATGTGTGACTAAGCAAACAATTCTTAATATACTTAAATCAACAAGTCATTCGATAAGTATTGAAAACCTGATCATTTCTATTTAATAAATCTTTTAATTTACACTATTATGTAATAATCTATACAAACTAATGGGTTAACAAGTAACGTTTAATACAATAAACATATAATATAAAGGACAGTGATGAATATATTCACTGTCTTTTAGGTAAGAAAATTCAGATTATTCTTAATGTAAACATATTCACGTGTACATTATCAAGATATGAAATTTCGTAGATAATTTGTAAGTATTTTCCTATGTTATATCTTTTGCTCTTTCTAAATTTAGGCAGCATCATGATTAGTGACTATGATAATACAAATAGTAATAATAATGATAACGTTTGTAAATGTCAGTGATTTGTAAAGCATCACAAGATGAAAAAAAGGCCTACACCATGAAGTAATCTAGTAAAATAATTTTCAAAACAAAAGTAATTCAGTTATTTTTTTGCTTGCTAAATGTTCCCATTTTTCAGACAAAAATATATAAATGTATAAATTTATTTTTGAAAATTAAACGGTGAAGATAAAGCTTGAATAAAATGAGTTTTCATTTATATACGCTAACACTTATTCAGATGCTATAACAATTGAACTTATCGTAATTACAACTAATATCAAATTAATATCCATTAGATATGATTATGATTTTTTTAGTGGCCCCATATCTGACTCTAGATTAGAAGGCTGCGCGTTCCTATCACACCACTTTAGTGGGGCCCTTCATTCTGAAGTCAATTAGATCGGACGATGTTGGGCTCATCACTTTAGTGGCCCTGGATCTGACTCCAATTAGATCGTACGATTTATTGTCATTGAAATATACATAATGTCAATCCTCGTATACAATCATCGGTTTAAATCGCGTTACTGTATAACGGAATCAAATAAGTCAAATACGAGAATGAAGTTTTAAATACGTATATTTTGTACATATTGATCTGGACAGACAATCAGAAAAACGGAGCGAAGAGAAATGACGTGCAGTGGAGGCGTGTGAGACAACTCCATTTAATCAAGCGTTAATCAATATTTATAGTCACACACGCGCTCATATAAAAACAATCAAGGTTGATAAGCGAATAAATAACAAGGTCAAAGCGTGACTCAAGAAGGATGAATAGATTGACCTGTCCAGAAGCTAGAATAAGCTATATGAGCTTAGCATAATGACCGACACTATAGTTTCACTGACTTAAAAGTTCTTTGTGAAGAGTCTAGTGAAAATTATGTCAATTTGAATCGTCGAAACATTACCAAACCTTTCATCACTATACATTTTGGACGTTCAAGAATACATGACAAAGTATTGAGCGAATTATGTTTGAAAGATCTCAGAGAGTAAGGTGGTTTTTATGAACAATATCATGTTAAAAGTTTTAATATTTTATTAGAACAAGAAGTATATACAAGACAAAACATATCACTTAGTCTTGTGGATACTCTTAGATAATCAAAAGACACTGTTATTACATGGGTGATCTAAGATTTAAGTCGAGATGGTTAATTAACAGTAAATATCTATTAGCCAGCAAAATACATAATCAGTGGCTAGAGAAGTTTATCACTTTAACAAATACATGTCTACAAAATTATTTTCTTCAGATAAATTCTGCGCTTAAATGAGTTTCAAATGTAGTTCGTTTACTATTCCATGTTTGTCAAAGAAAGTGAAAACCTTTAGAGTTGAATGAAATTATTTTGCATCTCTCTGAATGCCTTTCCATTATTAATAATAAATTTTATAAGCCTGACAAATCCAACAATGTATACGGCCTTGTTAATCAAAATATGTTTAAAGCTTATTATTTATTAAAATAAAGATTATAAATTCAATATTTCATATTGATAGTGATTTCAAAACACTATTTTTTGTACTGTCATAAATAACTGACGGCGCCAACAAACCTCTAAAAAGGTAGACAAATAGTAACAGAGTTTTTTATATTGTACGTGTAGTTGTTTGTTGAAGAACAATTACCACATGAATTGACATCAAGTTTAGATAGCATCTGGAAACCCGGAAGCAGTTCAGTATATGACTTTGTGAATCAAGCTTTATTGTTCGTAATTATGACTTAATTATGCCTGTTACCCCTCATAGAAGAATATAGGCCGCTCACCAACACTCTCTATCCAACCCTATCCTGGGCAATCCCTTCCAGTTGTTTCCAGTTGTTACTCATCCATTTCATGTCTGCTTCCGATTCTCAGCGCACTGTGTTCTTCAGCCTTCCTCCTTTCCGTATTCCTTCAGCATTCCAAGTTATGGCTTGTCTCGTGATGCAGTTTGATGATTTCCGAATTGTGTGTCCTATCCACTTCCAACATCATTTCCTAATTTCCTCTTCAGCTGGGAGTTGGTTTGTCCTCCAACACAGTATCCTGTTGTTGATGGCATCCGACCAATGGACATCGATTATGTTGTGTAGACAACTATTTATAAATACTTGCACCTTCATGATGATGGTTGTAGTAGTTCTCCAAGATTCAGCTCCATACATTAGAACTATCTTGACGCTCGTATTGAAGATTTTGACACTGATACTGATTGACAGTTGTTTTGAGTTCAATATGCTCTTCGATTGTAGGAACGCGTCCTTTGCTTTGCTAATCCTCTCCTTTACGTCTGTATCCAATCCTCCTTGTTCATCGATGATGCTTCCCAGGTACGTGAAAGATTCCACATCATCCAGTGTTTCGCCATCAAATGTGACTGGGTTGGTATCCTCTGTGTTGTAATTAAGGATCTTGCTCTTTCGTTTGTGTTTGTTGAGGCCTAATGATGCAGAGGCTGCTGGTACACTAGTTGTCTTCGTCTGTGTGTTTGGGATAGGAGGGCTAGGTCATCTGCGAAGTCCAAATCGTCCAGTTGATTCTGAGCTATCCGTTGTATTATGTGCTCTCCTTTAGATGTCGAAGTCTTCATAATCCAATCAACCACCAGAAGAAATAGGAAAGGGGAGAGTAGGCAGCCTTGTGTTACTCCGGTCTTTACTTGGAATGTATCTTTCAGCTGTCCTCCATGCACCACTTTGCACTGTGGTCTGTCGTATGAATTCCGGATTATGTTGACAATCTTCTCAGGTACTCCATAGTGTCGAAGTAGTTTCCATAATGTTCTTCTGTCCACACCGTCAAACGCTTTCTCATAATCAATTGAGTTGATGTATAGTGACGAGTTCCACTCAACTGATTTTTCAACAGTGTTCCGTAGCGTCTGTGAACGACTGATACTTACGGATTCACGCGAATGAAATGAATATGTATTGCATTCATTTCACTGACATAAATTTTATTTCTGTCTGTTTTACTTATAACTAAAGTGTACAAGTTTTGGAAGTCATTCACCATAAAACACTGTTTTGGATTTAAAAAATATGCATAAATCAGACATTATTCAAATAATCTCATATTTTTAAGGTTGAATTTAGATTCCATTTTTTTAAATTTTACTAAGCCATCTAAAATTGAAAATATTAATAAGCATATATTGTGTATCTTTTTTTATAGTAAGTTACAATGTGTGTAAAAAGGTTTCTTTCTACATCAGGTCACACGATGATTGATTTTATGAAATATGCACCAAAAATTAACAACCTAAACTTTGTCCTAAGAAATGATCTATCTAAATAAATAAATATTGTACTCATTATTGTAGATGATACAGATTGCTTAACATTTCACCGTTCTGTTTGGGAAATTTCGTTAGAAATATCACAGAAAACTTTCTAGGAATCGCATTTCTTACTTAGTATAGAATTCAATCTGCAATGTGGTAATGTGGATTCACAGTTTCAAGATTATTGATGATATTTTTGTCAATATAAATCATGCTAGTTGCAGTTGTTACAAAATTCTGAGTTAACATTTAACATCCGACCTAACTATCTTTCTCACTTCTATTCAATTTTAATATAACTAAAACTTCACGAAACCATGACGATCGATTGAAAGGCCGTGAATAATGGATCCCAGTTAGCTCGGAAGTTGGACAGGTATCATCAGTGAAAATGGATAGAAGTAATGGAACACCCTGAACCGATTGATTTCAAAAATGAGGGCTAGTAGACTCTAGTTCGGTGAGTTGGCTAGAACTCACTGGTTTTGATCCTTGAAGGTCAAGGGTTCAATCTATGATTGGATTATCGTTACAGCCCACTGAAGAGTTACAAACATGACTTTAATTTTCAGTAGGTATCAGCTGGTATGTGTGTATAAACTACTTTCTTTAAAGCGGAAGAGATATGGACTTATGTACACATCAAACAAAACAAGGTAAGTGGGAGTGGAATCTTTGGAATAGATCGCATTCGTAACAGAAACATATTAGAACAATGGTGGTTACGTTACACATGGACTATGTGATGAGGTATTGCATTTTGCTAATTCGGGTATCTACCAAAGTTAGAATTAAACTAATTATGTGCTAAATAACTCCGATGTCTATTCTAAACTTCACATTCTGAACTTCACACAAACCTAATATTATTAATGGCATGCTTTCGGAAGTAACTGTGTGGTAGGTAGAACAAAATCAAGTCACTGATGAACGTAACCAAGCTCGTTTAGCATAAATGTTTTACTCTGTAGTTTCTAAACATGCTTTCAACCATCAAACCCATACCTAACTCGAATTCATTCAGTCAGGTGTAACTTATTGATTATTTTCAAAACAGAAGAATTTTACCTTCCAAATATGCTGACTGAAAATAGTATGTATTGAGTAATGTTTTAACCTGATTTCGACTTATGAGAAGAGTGCTATATATACCTAAATGTTATAACTAAAGACGTTTTATTTTTTATGAAGTTTACTCTTTTTAGCCGAATAGTTTAGAGATATCACTGATATCAAAGATCTTTTATGAAGAACGCTGTTTGAACCAAGAAATTGTATGTTAAGAACTGTCTTCACATTTATGGTAAACGGTATCCACGGATTTGAAAATTACTTTAAGTACGCGAACAAAATAGAACCGCTAATAAACATATCTGGTTAACTTGAAGTGTTTTCGTCTTATTGGTTACTGGATCATTCCGACTTGAGTATTAACGGAGGTGCAAAATAAATCCCTAAAAACGCTTTGATAGACTATGGAAAAAACTGATATGATACTTCAAAAACTGAACTATACACTTATAACTCACGGTATAATAAATGTCAGCAGATGAGTTTTATCAAGTGAAATGACAATATTACAAAGAAATATAATACAAAAGTCATTTAAAAAGCGATAATGGTGAATAATAACAGATAGAGATCATGTAATTATACAGACGCTATTTCATCCACTTAGGATATCGGATCCTACCGATGAAGAATATATTTTAACCACCTAAGTATCTTTCCAGTGTCATGTCTGAGAAGTTCTCAATCTACATCAGGATCTTGTATAGAGAGTCAAATCAACAGACGCTTATTTAACCATTATCCTTTACTTCGCGTAATCATATCATGAAATGAATGTTTATCTACATTTTTGGCCTCTTCAAGGTCAGCAAGCATAACTGATAGTACCGATGGGTTATACTAATTCCACAATCCGTCTTAATTAACACAATGATAGCTTGTAGGATACAAGCTGCTGTAGTTCAGACTGAGTATGAATTAAGTTCGCCTGCAACCCACTGCAACCCTTCATCACCCATACAGTTACAGAAATAAGTGAATACCTAAGATGTTTTGGCTTACGATAGTAAATGAATTTAGCTCCAGATTTACTCAAACACCTATGGAGTGCTTACATTCCAGTGATAAGTATTGTGTACCATAACTAGGGAAGCTGATAGCCAAGTGGTTGAGTCCGGGTGTTATTTAAAGGTAAGACAAAGTGTTTGTCAAATCTGAGATCAAAATGCCTTCCTAGGATGTCAGTCCTACGACATCCCTACTCTATCTCCAGTTTGTTATCTATGACAAGTGTAAAATGTACGACTTGTTAACTGTGAAAGCTGTGTAAAGTATAAAACAATGGTATGTATGGTAATAACTCTGATTTTTTAGTGTTACAAAACAAAATAATTATTGAAACATTAAGATCAATGTTTCACGGTAAAAAAAGTAAATTGTTAGCGCTAGGTTGCATAATCTGTAAGAATAGTTTAGACTTATAATCACATTCAAGTAAACGTAACTTACCAGTTATAAATTCAGCTAGAATGCATCCTAAGCTCCACATATCAATCGGAGTACCATATGGTAAGCCAAGAATGATTTCAGGTGCACGATAAAAGCGTGACTGTATGTAGTTATATGGACATTCGTTAATATAACAACTTGATCCAAAATCGATTACTTTGATTTTGCTTTTTCCTGGACGTCGTAATAAAATGTTTTCCGGTTTCAAATCACAATGAATCACTTTATTCCTGTAAATTATAATGACAAAAATAAATTCTATATCATGAGATTCCTGTGATTATTAAATGTTTTATTAAATGTTGATTTTCCACAAACAGACATTGGTAGGAATGCTATTTCAGTAAACTCGAAATAGATGAATAAAGAAACTAGAACATCGTATGAGAATGTACTGTAAGCATGAATCTAATGTTATGCTAAATTTTCGCAGAAAAAGAAACGGAGTCTTTCGCGTAACATTAAATTTAACGTCTTGCTGACTCATTCTGAAATCTTAACAAGAATTATATCCTTTTAATTTCAGTCCACTTCAATGTTATAAAACGTTATATTTAATATAAAAAATCACATTAATCTCTATGAGGTTACCGTTATTTGACAGATTGTTTAGAGGAATTGGTAGTTACATGCATTTAAATAAAGACTTTCACAAATAAGTCATCAGACGTTTTATCTAAGTGAAGAATATGTTACTACTAAGGTGGAATCAAAAATTGTTCCATTCACAAAATTAATTATAGTTGTTAAATGTTACAAATAAGTGGTAAATTCTTTTAGATAATATTAATCAAAGTGTTTATTTGTTAAAGAATTGAGACATATCGATCAACTTTTGACAGGTTGCGTAATGTCTGTCAAGAATATTGTCGAAACATTCTTATGATAAACCGAATTCTAATGATACTAAAGTAAGAGCAAGAATATAAAATTAATGTAAGTTTGCAATAATGAAAGAAACTCAGTAAAAAGAGGGAGTAAAACTACTGTAATATATTTGAAACGTGTATTTGTAATATTGGTAAGAGTTGATTTAATCTTTCAAATTCATACCTCAGGGATTATCAGTTTACCAAGCTTCTATTCTTGTCAGGTAATCAATGAAAACTCAAGAACAACTGAAGGAAATAACTGTCCTATATCCAAGAAGAAAACTCAAGTTTCTCAGATCGATTTTGTTGTCATTTATACTTCTCTGTGGACTTAAAACACAATAAATTTATTAGTAAACGAATCAAAACCGCAATAATAGTAGTGTAATCATATAACGAATGATTATCATAGAAGCGATCTGATCAGCAATGTTCTCGACAATGTCCAATTAAGCGCATCGTACCATTCAAGTTGAAAATCAGCCATTAGCTTATCTAAAAATCATGATTTTATGGAGAACAGTTTCAATCAGAAACACTGCTGGGATAGTAGACAGACTATGAAAAATCTACTTTTTTACTGAAAAGCGATAATAACTATGCCAACAAGCATTTTTAAGATAGGCTAGTATGAGTATTATTGAGTAGGAAATGTGACGTTATTGTTGTTGGAATCCAGACTTGAAACCATTAACTAATGGAATTTATGTGACATTCATTTAGTGTCATTTCAGTGTTGATTTGCATGAACATATGTATTCAGTCAATGTGATATTAGTGTAAGATATATAATCATTTGTTATAAGTTGTTAAAGCACCTTTAAGCTTTTGAAATATTAACTTTGACTAATGAAAAATGTAGGATTGAACTAATTAAATAGAACAATTAGTAACCAATAATAATCGTAGTTATTTTTTCAGTTTTCTATCCTAATCACAGGTTATGTTTTTGTACTAAATTGTCTTCATTCAGTTCAATTTTTACATAGTTAACTTTCAAACTGATGAAATGGATATCAACCAGGAGATATGATATTTTGTCAAATTTTTACATTTTTTCTCTGTGTTATCCATTCACAGTTAGTTTTGTTGACATAGAAAAAGGATATGACTAGAAAACTATTTAGTTCATTTACACCATTCAACTGGAACAATTAAATTTTTTTTAAAAAGAACGTTGATCATATAGATATGTTTGAAAACCTGTCATCTTAACCTAAATTCTTCTATGTACTTATCTGACTTCATGTTAACCAAATATAGGTCACACATTTAGTAAAACGCAACTGGCATGGTAGTAGAAAGAAAACTTGTGCAGAATAATACTATGAATAAGTAATTTTTCACTAAGTTTCCAGATTGTCACATTATCTTCTTGAAATATTAGTAACCTATACATAATCTCATTATTTTGATAGTGACTGAGGAAAAAAAACGATTCGTTACACGGTACATGTAACATCAGATTAAAGATATTTTCCAAAAAATATTTGCCAACAGGGACTGCAGCTAGAAATCATTAAAGATGATAAAAAAAGTAATGATTCGTGTTAAAAAGAAAAGTCGTCTTATTGATTATTTGAAATGGAATCATAGAAGTACTAGTGTACATGGTTCATCCATTTTTATAGCTAGAATAACTAAAAGCCTCTTTATTTTGATATGCAAAATAGGATCTTTTCAACAACAAAAAATCAAAATCATATTATAGAGAAGAATTGAAAACGAGAATAGAGCAGCAACGAATTATTGATTATTAAAATGTAAAGTTTCAAGTTTTGAGTAACACTTGAAAGCACTGCAAAACAAAACTCAATAGAATGTAGTTAAAATTGTGTCATAGTGGAGAGCATTAGCTTGCACTATAACCAATGCTGAAAATCAGATTTTAATAAATCTAGAAAGCAGGATTTTGGCGGTATTGCATTTACTGAGCTCACAAGATATCTGAATACAGTTTATTGATAACGATTTGAAAAATATAATACTCTAAATCATGAAATTTTATGTAATTTTTTGAAATTCTTTTTACAACAGTCTTATGTCACTCGTTGAATCGATGTTTTACCATGGACAGTGCTGAAATACTTTAATATTATCATCGATTCGATTTCAGATTAAATCTGATATACACACTACTACAGTTTTCTACACCACATAGAATTAGTTATTAAATTTCCTTTATTTTCTGTTTGTCATTCAGAGGTGGCTACTTGGTTATAAGAGTCGGTTAACTTCCAATGGCCACAAATTCTCATCAGTTACAAGATAAAAAAGGTAGTTATTGATTTTTTAAAATTAAAACAGATAAGGATGAGTATTTTGGCTCAATACAGCAACCTTTGGAAACTTTTGGTGAATAATCGATAACAAATTGTTGAGTTTAACAAAAACCGTTGAAAATAACGTGAATTAATGGACAAACCAGTCTCTGATTCATTTGTTAAAATACGAAAAACGAGGATATATGATTCATTTCACTTACAATTATATTTCTAGGCCTCTATTATTCTTTAAAAAAGCCTCCTTAAACTGTATGAAGTAATGGCTCACTGGTTAAAATCAACGGTGTGTAAACATTAGATTTCAAGTTTGAGTACAATACCATGTATTAGTACCAGCTGATCAGTCTCATTGGCCCTCACAAAAATATGTTAATCATAAATTAATAGATGAAACTGTAATTGACAACTGAGTTATAATGTATTATTATTTCTGTGAAAACCTATTTTAAAATCTTGGAGATCCTGTATGTCTAAACTTATCAAGTACCCAAATTGTATTCTAATGTTCAAAATGACTTATTTTACAGAGCTATGTTGACTAAACATTCAGTTATTATTAAAAAAAGAACACAAAATTATATACTATAATGAATTATGTGCTATTCTTTGTGATATACAATACATTTTAAACTGATGCTAATTTGTCATGAAAATGTTATTTAATCTATAATCACTCTTGAAATAATCCATCAAAATATCTCATATAATTGTAATTTTATACATCAACCTGTGATACTTCATTCATGCTAAAACATTACGTATATAAGTTAAATCAATAATCGAAAGACAAACTGGTGTTACCTAGAACATAAAAAAAATTTTTTTTTGAATCGTTTTTCTAATTATCTAACTTCATTCACAAATAGATTTTGTTTATTTTAGTTTATTTTAGAATTCGTTTATTTTTTTCTTCTCTCAAGTGTTTTGTTTGTAAAATTATGTGCATGACGGTATGTGAAACATCAAAATAACTAGAGATCATAAGTTATCAGTAGACATATAATAGTAAAGGAGCATAGATTAATATTGAGAAAGAAAACTGACTTATAAACCTATCATGAATAAATGAAGATCGTTTCAGTTTAAATATTCGTTCTATATGGATAAAAATTTACATAATTTTTTTTAAAAAAAGTGACTACTTTATATAAACCAATGTCATGTTATCTGATCCAGAGTACCGATCAAGTTTTTTTTTCGATCAAATGTCAATCCAATCGCTAGTTTAGGCAACTGTAGATTACTTTGCTTGATATTAGTTGGTTACTGTCAAAGTTTTAACATCTTAACTGAAGGTTTATCTGAATAAGATACGTATTTAAATTATATATTATTTCTACAATAACTTCTGCATTTCAAGTCTGTGTGAATTTCATAATGAAAGACCAACCGTAAAGATAACAATTTTTTTAAAGACTTGAGAATGATCTGTTAGTTTTAAACTCTTTTGTCATATCGAGTTCAATGAAGTTCTTTTCACACTAGAATATGTTATACTTAATTATGAGTTGCTACAAGTGCGCTTAATAGCTTTGGGAGGTTTAAATTAACTAAAATTATTATGGTTTAGATGTTACGGTTTTCTACATTTGATGGGATCTAGTTTACTATGAGATGAATTTAAATGATCCATTGTTTCTCTTGATTAACTTAAACACTTTTATGCACACACCAAGTAAGCTTTTAGCCTTCTTGTTACATCTAACACTTGTGATTTCAGTTAAAATAATAATACTAATAGTAATAAAGATAGGAGAATGTATAAAAAGTGCACTAAGTATCATTTAAAGCTTGAATTGATACATTTGGTAATCCTATATCGCTGCAGCTAGATTATTCAATTATGAAGAGTTTATTACCAGTTTAATCAGAATTATAAGATTATATTTTAAACAAACCTATCCTGAAGGACAATGATATCTTCACTGTAGAGCTCACCCAGCTCAAAACATCCAGTAGTACTAAATGCTACATTTATCAGATTGTAAAGTACTTAGTTCAGTTAATCTAACTTTTTCAAAACAACAATCATTTTTATACAGGAATCTTATTTATCATGGAAGGTGGTCATAG